GTGTGTGAGGTGTGAGGTGACACACACACACTGAGCTCAGTGCAGTGCAGCGAGACAGGTGAGCACTCACACCTGTCTGTCCCTCAGAGACCCTCCAGTCTGAGGACCTGATTGAGGACATGTGGCTCGGCGTCTCCGTGTCCAGTCAGGGACCACCGGGGGGGAGAGTCCTGGTGAGTCCTTCACCTGTCTGTCTCTCACCTGTCTTTCTCTCCCCTGTCCGTCTCTCACCTGTCCGTTTCTCACCTGTCCGTTTCTCACCTGTCTGTCTCTCACCTGTCTGTTTCTGACCTGTCTGTTTGTGACCTGTCTGTCTCTCACCTGTCTGTCTCTTCCCTGTACGTCTCTCACCTGTCCGTTTCTCACCTGTCTGTCCTCACCTGTCCGTCTCTCACCTGTCCGTCTCTCACCTGTCTGTCTCTCACCTGTCTGTCCTCACCTGTCTGTCTCTCACCTGTCTATCCTCACTTGTCTGTCTCTCACCTGTCTGTCTCACCTGTCTGTGTCTCACATGTCTGTCTCTCACCTGTCTGTCTCTCACCTGTCTGTGTCTCACCTGTCTCTCAGGTGTGTGGTCATCGCTTCGTTAAACTCTACGGAGCATTTAAACTCAAGCACATGATTGGACGCTGTTATATCCGTGGAAACGACCTGAAGTACAACCACACCGACCTCACCTGGCAGAATCCGGAGCAGACCTGCAGGTACACCTGAGACACACCTGAGAAACACCTGAGACACACCTGAGAGACACACCTGAGACACACTGAGACACACCTGAGAGACACACTGAGAGACACCTGAGACACACTGAGACACACCTGAGAGACACACTGAGAGACACCTGAGAGACACCTGAGAGACACCTGAGAGACACCTGAGACACACCTGAGAGACACCTGAGACACACCTGAGACACACCTGAGACACACCTGAGAGACACACTGAGAGACACCTGAGAGACACCTGAGAGACACCTGAGAGACACCTGAGACACACCTGAGAGACACACTGAGAGACACCTGAGAGACACCTGAGAGACACCTGAGAGACACCTGAGACACACCTGAGAAACACCTGAGACACACCTGAGAGACACACCTGAGACACACCTGAGAGACACACTGAGAGACACCTGAGAGACACCTGAGACAAACCTGAGATACACTGCAGCTGTTAGACACACCTGAGACACACTGAGACACACTGAGACACACTGAGACACACCTGAGACACACCTGAGACACACCTGAGACACACCTGTTAGCCATTAGCTGTTAGCTGAAGTGCTCACATCACCTCATATCTGTTAAAAAACTGAGGAAACATCGGAGTGTGTGTGTGTGTGTGTGTGTGTGTGTGTGTGTGTGTGTGTGTGTGTGTGTGTGTGTGTGTGTGTGTGTGTGTGTGTGTGTGTGTGTGTGTGTGTGTGTGTGTGTGTGTGCAGTCACCTGGGGGACGTCAGTGGGGAGGTGATGTGTAACATGGGGATTTCGTCCTTCATCACTCAGACTGAAGTCATCGTCGGCTCACCGGGAAGCTACGAGTGGCAAGGTGAGCTCCTCCTCCTCCTCCTCCTCCTCCTCCTCTAATCTGTTCAGATATTCATCTGTGTGTGTGTGTGTGTGTGTGTGTGTGTGTGTGTGTGTGTGTGTGTGTGTGTGTGTGTGTGTGTGTGTGTGTGTGTGTGTGTGTGTGTGTGTGTGTGTGTGTGTGTGTGTGTAGGAAACGTGCATGTGTCCTGGATAAATCCTGACGCTGTGTTTGACTCTCAGATGATCTCCTTTCCAAACCTGCAGAGCAGGAACATCTATATAGGTGACTGTCCCTTTAAATATCCACACTGTAAATATTAAACTGTCCCTTTAAATATCCACACTGTAAATATTAAACCCCCCCTTTAATTATCCACAATGTAAATATTAAACTTTCCCTTTAAATATTACCACTGTAAATATTAAACTGTCCCTTTAATTATCCACACTGTAACTATTAAACTGTCCCTTTAAATATCCGCACTGTAAATATTAAACTGTCCCTTTAAATATTACCACTGTAAATAAAAAACTGTCCCTTTAAATATCCACACTGTAAATATTAAATACTGTCCCTTTAAATATTACCACTGTAAATATTAAACTGTCCCTTTAAATATCCCCACTGTAAATATTAAACTGTCCCTTTAAATATCCACACTGTAAATATTAAACAGCCCCTTTAAATATCCACACTGTAAATATTAAACTGTCCCTTTAAATATTACCACTGTAAATATTAAACTGTCCCTTTAAATATCCACACTGTAATTATTAAAGACTGTCCCTTTAAATATCCACACTGTAATTATTAAAGACTGTCCCTTTAAATATCCACACTGTAAATATTACAGACTGTCCCTTTAAATATTACCACTGTAAATATTAAACTGTCCCTTTAAATATCCACACTGTACATATTAAACTGTCCCTTTAAATATCCCCACTGTAAATATTAAACTGTCCCTTTAAATATCCACACTGTAATTATTAAAGACTGTCCCTTTAAATCCTTTATTTCTTTTAAGTAGAGACACAGTACATCACAGGTATTGTCTCTGAGTAATGTGTGTGTGTGTGTGTGTGTGTGTGTGTGTGTGTGTGTGTGTGTGTGTGTGTGTGTGTGTGTGTGTGTGTGTGTGTGTGTGTGTGTGTGTGTGTGCGCGTGGGTGGGTGGGTGTGTGTGTGTGTGTGTGTGTGTGTGTGTGTGTGTGTGTGTGTGTGTGTGTGCGTGCGTGGGTGGGTGGGTGGTGTGTGTGTGTGTGTGTGTGTGTGTGTGTGTGTGTGTGTGTGTGTGTGTGTGTGTGTGTGTGTGTGTGTGTGTGTGTGTGTGTGTGTGCAGGGTATTCGGTGACCCAGGCTCGTGGTCTCCTCTCACAGGAAGATGAAACGATAGTAACAGGTGACTCACTCTTATCGTACTTCTTTGTGTACTTCAGGAGCCCCTAAATAGAGTAGGATATTACAGTGTTGCTGTGTGTACTTCAGGAGCCCCTAAGGACAGTAGGATATTACAGTGTTGTTGCTGTGTGTACTTCAGGAGCCCCTAAGGACAGTATGATATTACAGTGTTTCTGTGTGTACTTCAGGAGCCCCTAAATACAGTAGGATATTACAGTGTTGCTGTGTGTACTTCAGGAGCCCCTAAGGACAGTAGGATATTACAGTGTTGTTGCTGTGTGTACTTCAGGAGCCCCTAAGGACAGTAGGACTTTACAGTATTGTTGCTGTGTGTACTTCAGGAGCCCCGAAATACAGTAGGATATTACAGTGTTGTTGCTGTGTGTACTTCAGGAGCCCCTAAATACAGTAGGATATTACAGTGTTGTTGCTGTGTGTGCTTCAGGAGCCCCTAAGGACCGTATGATACTACAGTGTTGCTGTGTGTACTTCAGGAGCCCCTAAGGACAGTATGATATTACAGTGTTGCTGTGTGTACTTCAGGAGCCACTAAGGACAGTAGGATATTACAGTGTTGCTGTGTGTACTTCAGGAGCCACTAAGGACAGTATGATATTGTTGCTGTGTGTACTTCAGGAGCCCCTAAGGACAGTATGATATTACAGTATTGCTGTGTGTACTTGAGGGGCCCCTAAGGACAGTAGGATGTTACAGTGTTGCGGTGTGTACTTCAAGGGCCCCTAAGGACAGTAGGATATTACAGTATTGTTGCTGTGTGTACTTCAGGAGCCCCTAATGACAGTAGGATGTGACAGTGTTGCGGTGTGTACTTCAGGAGCCCCTAAGGACAGTAGGGAAGACGCCCGCGGCTCCGTGCTTCTGGCAGTGAAGCGCTCTGATAAACTGCTGACTCAGCAGACGCTGCGCGGCCATCAGACCGGATCCTTTTACGGGAACGCCGTCGCCACCGCGGACATCAACAATGACGGGTAACTGTGTAAAAAAAAATATATAATATATATATAATAATATTTAATATATATATGTTATATAGCATGCACTTCCTGCAGGGGTTGTGTTGTTGCTCAGTATCTTGTTGTTATTGATGATGTGTTGCCCACTAGCAGGGACTCAGGGGGGGCGGGGGGGTTTGATGGGATGTTCTGGTCCGTATAGAGACTCAAAGGGGGGGATATATATATATATATATATATGATATATTATGATATTATATGATCAATGATGTGATTGATGATGTGATATGAATGATAAGTGCGACACGTCGGCGTCTTTCCTGCAACGGCAGTTTTTCTGTATTTCCTCTATCCTGTAATATGACTTGATAGCTTTAAACTCTGCACACTGAGCTCTGATTGGTCAGCAGGCGGTGCTTTTACTGAGTTGATCTCTTAGCCTGCAACCTAACCTGCTCCGGACCAGAGGCCTGTACTACGAATCCAGTTCAACATACCCTGGATATGTTTGAGTTATCTTAACTAACCCAAAACAAACGCGATCTCGCTAAGCGGTCCTACGACGCTGGTTATCAACTCGGTAACTCAAGCCAGGGTTTCTCTGTCCGGCTGAGTGCGCGTTCACATGAAAGGGGCGGGGTTAGCAACATTTGACCAATCACAAACATGGAGAAGGTACTGAGAGCGCAGCGTCATACTTCCTGAATGAAAAGTCAACTATAATATTATCTTTCCTGCAACGGCAGTTTTTCTGTATTTCCTCTATCCTGTAATATGACTTGATCGCTTTAAACTCCGCACACTGAGCTCTGATTGGTCAGCAGGCGGTGCTTTCACTGACTTGATCTCTTAGCCTGGAACCTAACCTGCTCCGGACCAGGCTCAAGCACAAGTTACCATGGAGACCTAGCCCGGTAAGAAGAGAACCAGCGTCGTAGGACCGGAAACCCAGAGTTTCCCCTGAAGTCAGTTCAGAGAACATCCGGCTTCGTCGTGCAGGGGCCTATACTACGAAGTCAGCTCAGAGAACATCCGGCTTCGTCGTGCAGGGGCCTATACTACGAAGTCAGCTCAGAGAACATCCGGCTTCGTCGTGCAGGCCTCTGGTGGTTGTGTTGTTGATGATGTGTTGTTGTTGTTGTCCCAGATGGAGTGACCTGCTGGTCGGCGCCCCCTTCTTCTTCCAGAGAGACCCCGAGGTGGGTGGGGCTGTCTACGTGTACCTGAACAGAGGGGGGGGGTTTGATCCAGAACCCAGCCTCGTGCTGATTGGTCCTCAGGGCTCAGGGTTCGGGATCTCAGTGAGCAGCGCCGGAGACCTGGACCAGGACGGGTTCACAGGTGAGGGGGGGAGGGGGAGTACAGGTGAGGGGGGGATTTTAGACGGGGGGGCTACAGCTGGGGGGGGCATTCACAGGTAAGGTGGAGGTACAGGTGTAGGGGGGGGTAAATAATGATGATATATGATGATGATATATTTAAGCAATAGCTCACTTCAGGCCGTGATATATGGTCATTATATCACAGTTAAGGGGCGTGGTTCGGCCCGACGCGGAGGGTCGACAACCCCCTTAGCTGTGATATAATGAGCATATATCACGGCCTGAAGTGAGCTATTGCTTTAATAAAACGGTTACCAAGTGTGGCAATATGAAAGAAAAATACACGCTCTAATTTAAATAGTTTTTATTAGTAAATAATGATGTTCAAAATAAAATAGTCCCTCTGTTGCCTTCTGCACAAAACATAGTGGTTGCCATGCAACAACACTAACAGCTAGCGAACATATTAGACAGAGAGCGTTGATCCATTATTTGGCTATTTATTTACATTCATTTGTATGTTCAAATCAAATCAAGTTTTATTTATATAGCACATTTTTTAAACGATTTTTAAACAGCCAAAGTGCTGAACATATAATAAAAATACCCTTCAGTAAAGACACTTTACAGCAAATACAACAGCACAGTTTGTTCAGTATATCAGTATGAGAAAAACGACACCCTCTGTCCTTAGACCCTCTGTCCTTAGACCCTCTGTCATTAGACCCTCTGTCATTAGACCCTCTGTCCTTAGACCCTCTGTCCTTACACCCTCTGTCCTTAGACCCTCTGTCATTAGACCCTCTGTCATTAGACCCTCTGTCCTTAGACCCTCTGTCCTTAGACCCTCTGTCCTTACACCCTCTGTCCTTAGACCCTCTGTCATTAGACCCTCTGTCATTAGACCCTCTGTCCTTAGACCCTCTGTCCTTAGACCCTCTGTCCTTACACCCTCTGTCATTAGACCCTCTGTCATTAGACCCTCTGTCATTAGACCCTCTGTCCTTAGACCCTCTGTCCTTAGACCCTCTGTCATTAGACCCTCTGTCCTTAGACCCTCTGTCCTTAGACCCTCTGTCCTTAGACCCTCTGTCCTTAGACCCTCTGTCATTAGACCCTCTGTCCTTAGACCCTCTGTCATTAGACCCTCTGTCATTAGACCCTCTGTCCTTAGACCCTCTGTCCTTAGACCATCTGTCCTTAGACCCTCTGTCATTAGACCCTCTGTCATTAGACCCTCTGTCATTAGACCCTCTGTCATTAGACCCTCTGTCCTTACACCCTCTGTCCTTAGACCCTCTGTCCTTAGACCCTCTGTCATTAGACCCTCTGTCCTTAGACCCTCTGTCCTTAGACCCTCTGTCCTTAGACCCTCTGTCCTTAGACCCTCTGTCCTTAGACCCTCTGTCATTAGACCCTCTGTCCTTAGACCCTCTGTCATTAGACCCTCTGTCATTAGACCCTCTGTCCTTAGACCCTCTGTCCTTAGACCATCTGTCCTTAGACCCTCTGTCATTAGACCCTCTGTCATTAGACCCTCTGTCATTAGACCCTCTGTCATTAGACCCTCTGTCCTTACACCCTCTGTCCTTAGACCCTCTGTCCTTACACCCTCTGTCCTTAGACCCTCTGTCCCTTAGACCCTCTGTCCTTAGACCCTCTGTCATTAGACCCTCTGTCCTTAGACCCTCTGTCCTTAGACCCTCTGTCATTAGACCCTCTGTCATTAGACCCTCTGTCATTAGACCCTCTGTCCTTAGACCCTCTGTCCTTAGACCCTCTGTCATTAGACCCTCTGTCATTAGACCCTCTGTCCTTAGACCCTCTGTCCTTAGACCCTCTGTCCTTAGACCCTCACATCGTACAAGGAAACACTTCCGGAGAAAACCCCACAGTTTAAAGGGAACATGGGAGAAACCTCAGGGAGAGCAACAGAGGAGGGATCCCTCTCCCAGGACGGACAGATGTGCAATAGATGCCGTGTGTAAATCGAAGAGATAATACATTTACAACATAGGTAGACCGAATGTTTGGAAATGCATGTGTCTATAATAAGAAGATGAATCCACGAGGATGTCAACAACAATCCTGTGGGAGCCTTCAGGGAAGCAGCATGACGAGACCCAGGCAGGACCGCAGAGACAGGTTCAGCCACGACCCGAAGTCCACGACTTAATCCAGAACTCAGGATAGAGGATCCAGGGCACAGGACCACAGCAAGAGGATCAGCCTCCACTCCGGATCCCGGCGTAGATATAGACACAGAGGGGGAGGCTGGGTTCATCTGAACATGAGAATACACAGACACAGACAGGAGGAAGAACAAGCACTCCCTTAGGATAGGTTGAGGGGAAAGGGTAGCAAGTAAGAGAGTAAGAAACAGAGAGGCACACGCAGGGAGCAAGCTCCCACTGGAGCCTAAGTTGGAATTGGTGAGAGGTAGGGAGGAAGCTGTGAATACGTCATAACACTCCCCGGCCTGGATAAGCTTCTCTGCAAACCTGTTTCCCTCTAATAAAACATGGAGAGGTCAGAGAGGGAAAAGGGTTTGGATAAAGAGAGGATAGAAAGAATCGATTACAGGAGTAGAGAGTATGAGAAGTAGAGAGAGACAAGATTTAGAAGAATGAGTAGTAGTAATAACCTTAGTTTTAAATATAAGATCCAAGTTTTTAGGATTTAAGTGAAAGAGCAAGAACCAAAAGGTAGGTGAAGAGGCACAGCGTATCTACGTCAATGCACTCTTATTAGATTATTTATCAACTATAAGCTTTATCAAAAGGAAGGTCGTAAGCGTACTCTTAAAAACGGATAGGCTGTCGGCCGCCCGAACGCAAACTGGAAGCTGGTTCCACAAAAGTGGAGCTTGATAAGAAAAGGCTTGAAGGCCAGAGAGAAGAAGTGAGTTTTAAGAGTAGATCTAAAACCCCCTAGGGTCTGGGCCGACCTCACATGGAGGGGCAGAGTGTTCCAGAGCCTAGGGCCAGCTGCTGAGAAGGCTCGGTGCCCTCTGGTTTTGAGCCTGGTCTTGGGCACTACCAGCAGCAGCTGGTCAGCAGACCTTAAAGCTCTGGCTGGGGTGTAGCGCTGGAGCAGTTCAGCTATATAGGCCGGAGCCAGCCCATTTAGTGCTTTAAAAACAAATAAAAGGATTTTAAAATCAATTCTGAACCGAACTGGAAGCCAGTGTAGTGAGGCCAGAATAGAGGTGATGTGGTCACGCTTTTTGTGGCCAGTCAGCAAACGTGCAGCTGCGTTTGGGACTAGCTGCAGGCGTCTAATTGAGGCCTGGTCCATACCCACATACAGAGTGTTGCAATAGTCCAGTCTCGAGGTAACAAAGGCATTAATAACCCTTTCTAAGTCTTTAAAAGATAAATACGACTTGGTCTTGGCCAATAGTCGTATTTAAAAAAAGCAGGGCTTGACTACGCTGCTGACCTGCTTATCACATTTAAAAGCGCTATTAAAGGTCACTCCAAGGTTCATGACCGAGGGGAGGATGTTTTTATTGAGAGAGCCCAGAATGTCAACCGGAGAGGCTGGAGGTTGGGGTCCAAAAAAGATGACCTCAGTCTTGCTCTCATTGAGGTTGAGGAAATGTTGTCTCAGCCAGGATTTGATCTCTGCTAAGCAGTCCATCAACTGCTGTAGTGAGTTGACATTTTGATTGAGAGGCAGATAGATCTGTACATCGTCGGCGTAGCAGTGGAAGGGGATGTTGTGTTTAGTGAGAATTGAACCTAGGGGCAGTATGTACAGTAGAAAAAGGATGGGGCCCAAAATAGAGCCTTGGGGAACCCCGCAGGTAAGAGGGGCTTTGGCAGAGGAGAAGGCACCTAGCTGTACTGAGAAGCTACGGTCTGTCAGGTAGGACCTGAACCATGCAAGGGCAGAGCCTGTGATGCCAGCGGACTGTTCAAGCCGTGACAGCAGGATGCTATGGTCCACAGTGTCAAAGGCAGCTGTCAGGTCTAACAGCACCAAGACAGCTGGGCTACCTGAGTCGGCGGCTAGGAGCAGATCATTAAAAACTCTTCAAAGGGCTGTTTCAGTGCTGTGCATGGGTTTGAAGCCAGACTGAAACTTTTCATGGATTCCATGGATGGTTAAGAACGACTGTAGCTGGACATAGACTACTCGCTCTAGGGATTTAGAGAAAAAAGGTAGCTGGGAGATGGGCCTAACATTTGCGAGAATGGAGGGAGCGAGATTTTTCTTTTTAAGTAGTGGCTTAACCACGGCATGTTTGAAGGCAGCTGGGACACATCCTGAGCTAAGAGAGGTGTTTACAAGCAATAAAACACTTGCTCCAACTGATTCGAAAACATCTCTGAGAAGGCGAGAGGGAATGCTGTCTGAGGTGCAGTTTGTCGGCCGCAGGTGCTTGACTACATCCGAGAGAGAAGAGGCTCAAAGTGGTCGAGGACAGCAGGGCACAGTATGTTGCCGTTTATTGTGCACCCACTGAAAACCTGTCCAGCATCAGTAGCATGGCTTACGTGGTTATAGGTTGAGGTTGTTCTAGGCTGTTCTTTGGCGTGGAGAGAATATTGCTCCACTTTCTCCGGTCCCTGAGATTGGGCTTCCAGTAGCTCTGGAGAGAGCTTTCTCACCTGAGGCCACTAACGGTCATCATTTCTCTGCTTTGTTTCAAGACCCGCATCAGAAAGCTTTTGAATGGTGGTACCTTTCCAGTTGGTCTACCTGCTCTTCACGTAGCTCTGCATGTCGTCGTTTAGGTGCTTTCTGGAGATAGGCACTGCTCAATCCACTCCTCCATAGTGAGACCCCCCCGGAGGTCCAAGTTAAGTAAGGGACAATGTGCAGCGAGGCGGTCATTATGGGTAAAAGAACACCCGACAGGCAGATCAAAAATAGTCCGTTGTTACAGTTTGATCTACATAGCAACGGCAGGAACTGCTTCAATAGCGTTTTTGAGGACCTTTTTGATTACAGATTTGAAAACATCGTTGCTTGCTTTAAAAGTAGCACACTTCATGATGTCTGCCCCGTTACTTCTCCGCTGTTTTCTTGTTCCAGTTTGAAAAGCAAGCAGCATGCAGTTTGCTTTTCAGCCCAACTGTATACAGTTCAATCGACCGGACTTCTTTCTGCAGATGTGAGCGTCCTTAACAACGGTCAATACGTCCTTGCTGCACATTATCCCTTACATGTTTCCATCTTGAGCTTTGTTAGTTAGTTAGTTTCCTAACGGACGTAATGTAACAGCTGTAACGGTTGTAGCTTTTCTCAGACGTGGAGGGATACTGACTTGTTGTGAAAAGTAACTACAATTCTACCCGTGATATACGCTCATTATATCACGGGTAAGAACCAATCAGATTGCTTGATTTGACTTGTCCGTTTTATAAAATGATGCTATATTATGATGATATATGATAATGAGCATATATGATGATGATATATGATGATGATATTTGATGATGATATATGATGATGATGATATCTGATGATGATGATATTTGATGATGATATATGATGATGATGATATATGATGATGATATATGATGATGATGATGATGATGATATATGATGATGATATATGATGATGATATATGATGATGATGATGATGATGATGATATATGATGATGATATATGATGATGATATATGATGATGATGATGATGATGATATATGATGATGATATATGATGATGATATATGATGATGATATATGATGATGATGATATATGATGATGATGATGATATATGATGATGATATTTGATGATGATATATGATGATGATATATGATGATGATGATGATGATATATGATGATGATATATGATGATGATATATACTGATGATATTTGATGGGTTTCTCTCTGGTTCAGACTTCGCAGTCGGAGCTCCTTTCCACGGAACAGGAAGTGTGATGATCTTCAGCGGCAGCAGGGGGGGGGTCTCCTCAGAGCCCCGACAGGTAACTCACCTGCAGAACACCTGAACAGGTTAATAGGCTAACAGGCTAGTAGGCTAACAGGCTAGTAGTTAACAGGCTATCAGCTAACACACTAAAAGCTAACACATTAAAAGGCTAACCGGCTAACTCACTAAAAGCTAACAGGCTCCTCCCCCCCAGGTGATCCAGGGCAGCAGCGTGTCTCCGGGGTTCAGGACGTTTGGTTACTCTCTCTCTGGAGGACAGGATGTGGATGGGAACAGATACCCTGACCTGCTGGTGGGATCTCTGGACGACCAGGTGGCTCTGCTCAGGTAACCTCACCATCATTACCTGGTAACTGGGAACAGATACCCTGACCTCAGGGCCAGCCCTTGGCATAGGCAGTATAGGCGAATGCTAAGGGCGCATCAACCCATCAGGGGGCCGAAAATTGGGGAGAAAAAAAGTAGTTAGAAATGAAAAAAAAAAATGTTTGGGAAATTTCATATCAACACAATTTCCCGATTTTGGATCAACAAAGTACATCTTATTATCTTATACTAACACCCCCCCCCCCCCCCCCCCCCCCCCCCCCCCCCCCCCAAAATCAAGTTGAACTGCCCCAGCCCCCACAGGTTTATGTGAAATTGTTCTTTTTTTGGTTGGGGTGGGTTTTAGTGTGCAATTATAGGTTTTAATTTTGTATTTGTGTTCATTTAAAATAAATTAAACTCACAAAAAACGTATACAGCTTCTGTGTGCTTTCATTAACATTGGACTTTACTGTGTAACCGGGGGAGAGCTTTAGAGAGCTCTCTCCTGAAAGACTGAGAGGCTCTGATAACCTCAGCTCAGTGAGGTAAAGGAACACCTTTATATGATCATTATAGTTATAACAAAATAAGAGAATAGATGAAAAACAGGTATAAAATACTATATGACAGTACAAAAAAGTTGTTATTAATAAACAAGAGTACAGTTTGAAAGGGGAGTGATTTGTAAAATATCCATAAAGAAAAAGTAAATCTGTTTACAGTTCTGTTTCATATGGGTGTTGAGAGAGGTATCCATAGATCTCTTAATGTTGCTCTCAAAGTGCACCAGATTGATGCTTTTAACTTCAACATTAAAAAAAAAACATCCTGCCGGACCCCCCTAGAGGACGTTGGGTCCCCCCCCCCACTTAAATCATGTTAAAATGGATAGGATACTAAATACAGTTGCACACATCTTGTGTCCATATCTTTCTGTTTTGGTGGTCATGCCACAACCGTTGCTGGGGGGTCTCTGGACGACCAGGCGGCTCTGCTCAGGTAACCTCACCTCACCATCATTACCTGTCCGGCAGTGGCTCAGTCAGTAGGGACTGGGAGCCGTAGGGACGCCGGTTCAAGTCCCCGAACAGACCTAAATATGGAGTATGGACTGGTAGTTGGAGAGGTCCCAGTTCACCTCCTGGGCCCTGCCGTGGTGCCCTTGAGCAAGGCACCAGACCTGGTAACTGTGGTAACTGGTGACTCTGGTAACTGGTAACTGTGGTAACTGGTAACTGGTGTTACAGGCCCATATCAAACCTGCCATTTCTAGGTAAAATCATTGAAAAAGTTGTTTTTCAACAGTTGAGTAACTTCTTGCATTTAAATAACTGTTTGGATGTGTTCCAGTCAGGATTTCGTCCAAACCACAGCACTGAGACTGCTCTTGTAAAGGTCTTCAATGACATCCACTTAAACACAGACAGTGGCAGAACTTCAGTGTTAGTATTATTAGATCTCAGTGCTGCGTTTGACACTGTTGACCACAACATATTACTAGACCGACTGGAAAACTCGGTGGGACTTTCGGCAACAGTTCTAAATTGGTTTGAGTCCTACTTAAAGGACAGAAACAACTTTGTTTCTAAAAGTAAATACACATCTGAGTTGACAAATATGACATGTGGGGTACCTCAAGGCTCCATCTTGGGGCCTCTTCTCTTTAACATCTACATGTTACCACTGGCTCAGATAATGAAAAACAACAAAATAAGTTACCATAGCTATGCGGATGACACACAAATTTACGTAACAATTTCACCAGGAGATTATGCTCCAATTCAAACACTGAGTAAGTGCATTGAACAAATCAATGACTGGATGTGTCAGAACTTTCTCCAATTAAACAAAGATAAAACTGAGGTAATGGTTTTTGGAGCCAAGGCAGAACGTATAAAAGTTAGCGCTGAGCTTCAGTCTGCAATGTTCAAAACAACAGATACAGCCAGAAATCTAGGTGTAGTCATGGACTCTGATCTGAGTTTCAACAGTCACATTAAAACAGTTACTAAATCAGCCTACTATCACCTAAAGAACATATCTAGGATTAAAGGACTAATGTCACAGCAAGATCTGGAAAAACTTGTCCATGCTTTTATCTTCAGTAGACTGGACTACTGCAATGGTGTCTTTACAGGTCTCACTAACACATCTATTAGAAAGCTGCAGCTGATTCAGAACGCTGCTGCTCGAGTCCTCACTAACACTAAGAAAGTGGATCACATCACTCCTGTTCTGAAGTCCTTACACTGGTTCCTCACTGACACTAAGAAAGTGGATCACATCACTCCTGTTCTGAAGTCCTTACACTGGTTCCTCACTGACACTAAGAAAGTGGATCAGTCCTGTTCTGAAGTCCTTACACTGGTTCCTCACTGACACTAAGAAAGTGGATCACATCACTCCAGTTCTGAAGTCCTTACACTGGTTTCCTGTGTGTCAAAGAATAGATTTCAAAATATTGTTGCTGGTTTATAAAGCACTGAATGGTTTAGGCCCAAAATCCATGTCTGACCTGCTGAATGATGAACCATCCAGAACTCTCAGGTCTTCAGGGACTGGTCAGCTTTCTGTCCCCAGAGTCAGAACTAAACATGGTAAAGCAGCGTTCAGTTATTATGCTCCAAACATCTGGAACAAACTCCCAGAAACCTGCAGGTCCGCTGCAACTCTGACTACTTTTAAATCCAGGCTGAAGACTTTTCTTTTTGCCGCTGCTTTTAATTGAACTATTCACATCTTAAACTGCACTGTAACTTTTATCCATGTTGTTAAGGAATAATTCTTCTAGATATCTAACCTTTTGCTCTGTGACGTTTTATGATCTACTCTGACGTCTGTTATCTCCTTTAAGGAAAGGCCTTGGTGCCATATGTGTTGTTGTCACCAGTTTGTGACCGGTCAACTTGTCTGGCACGAAGGGTACTTGTTGTGAGAACGCTGAGGCACTTCCTTATCGGTGTTTGTGGGCTCTAAGATGTGAAATCCTTGAGGCCATGAGTGTCGGACGCAGGTGGCTCAGTGTTCCCAGCTGTTTAGTCTACTCCTTCAGAGATGTTGATTTCTCTCTGTGAACCAGTTAAAAGGTCTAGCATAGAGAGAGGCTCTTCAGAATTGACGTGGCAACTCTACCGTGTGGTCAGAACCTCTGACTCTTTGACTTGTGATGTGAATCCTCCGGCCGAATACTCTGAATAAACCCATCAGTGTTTGACATCAAAGCTCCAACTCTCACCGTGTCTCCTTCCTGAGTCGGTGACTCCATGCATTGCTACACAGAAGTTTCCTCCACACATGTATTTTTTCTTTTAATGTTTATTTTATTATCTTTTCTTTTTAATGACTGATTTTAAAAGCCATTTTCTTAATGTCTTTCATTTTTTGTAAAGCACTTTGAATTGCCTTGTGTTGAAAGGTGCTGTATAAATAGACTTGCCTTGCCTTGCCTAGGTGACTGGTGACTGGTAACTGGTAACTGGTGACTGGTGACTCTGGTAACTGGTGACTCTGGTAACTGGTGACTCTGGTAACTGGTGACTCTGGTAACTGGTGAATCTGGTGACTCTGGTAACTGGTAACTGTGGTAACTGGTGACTGGTAACTGGTAACTGTGGTAACTGGTAACTGTGGTAACTGGTGACTGGTAACTGGTAACTGTGGTAACTGGTAACTGTGGTAACTGGTGACTCTGGTAACTGGTGAATCTGGTGACTGTGGTAACTGGTGACTCTGGTAACTGTGGTAACTGGTAACTGTGGTAACTGGTGACTGGTAACTGTGGCAACTGGTGAATCTGGTAACTGTGGTAACTGGTAACTGTGGCAACTGGTGAATCTGGTAACTGTGGTAACTGGTAACTGTGGTAACTGGTAACTGGTAACTGTGGTAACTGGTAACTGTGGTAACTGGTGACTCTGGTAACTGTGGTAACTGGTGACTGGTAACTGTGGTAACTGGTAACTGTGGTAACTGTGGTAACTGGTGACTCTGGTAACTGGTGAATCTGGTAACTGTGGTAACTGGTAACTGCATGGTGACTGTGGTAACTGGTAACTGTGGTAACTGGTGTTGTGGTAACTGGTGACTGTGGTTTCCTCAGGACTCGTCCGGTCCTTCATCTCAACAAAACCATCAGAGTGTCTCCAGATGTCGTCGACCCAAACAACTGCGACTTCTGGTGAGACATGCTAACAGGCTAACAGGCTCACATTCTAACAGGCTAACAGCTGACGTGTTAGAAGCTAACATACTGTTTGTGTGTGTGTGTGTCAGTATCCAGGTGGAGGTGTGTTTCTCCTACATGTTCAGCACCGGGGAGAGGAGCCACAGAGACAACATCAGTGAGTACCATCCCCCCTGTGTGTGATAGCATTGTGATGACAACGCTTACACGCTAACAGGTCTGTTTATGGTCTGCCCCCGTTAATCACCATTACCAGCTGTGTGTGTGTGTGTGTGTGTGTGTGTGTGTGTGTGTGTGTGTGTGTGTGTGTGTGTGTGTGTGTGTGTGTGTGTGTGTGTGTGTGTGCATGCATGCTCTCAGTTAAATGGCTGATCTGATTAATTGACAGGACACAGCTGTCAATTAACGCCTAAAGTTAATCAAAAGAGTGACACACAAAAACGCACACACACATATACACACACACACACACACATATACAAGCACACAGACAAGGGCACAGATGACATCATGCGTGTCCTTGTGTCCTTGTCTCCTGTGTGTTTCTCTGAATGATAAATCCTATTACAGAAACTGATATTATTACATCTGAGACACACACATACACACTCACACACAGAAACACACACACACACACACACACACACACACACACACACACACACACACACACACACACACACACACACACACACACACACACACACACACACACACACACACACACACACACACACAGTATTCCTCAGGGAGCTCTGCCTGCTTCTGTCTTATTAATTTGACCAATCAGAAACGAGGTCACACTGTTGCTACTTACCATCTAAACACACACACGCACACACATGCAAACACACACCCACATGCAAACACACACGCAAACACACACACATGCACACACACGCAAACACACACACGCAAACACACACGCAAACACATGCACAGCACACGCACACACACGCAAACACATGCACAGCACACGCACACACATGCAAACACACACGCAAGCACACACACATGCACACACAAACACCCACGTGCAAACACACACACAAGCACACACACACACACATGCAAACACACGCACACACACACACACACGCACACACACACCATCATCATCATCGGCGGTCACTCGTAGTCGAGTATGACTGTCCTCCTTCTTGGTGTGGGTCTTCAGGTGGGCATAGAGGCCGATTCTGGACCCCATTATTCTTGTGCAGTGTGGACAGGGGGATGTAGTGGTGGAGGGTTTGGGTTGGACCTGTTTGGTGGTTGCTCTCTCCTTCCTGAGTCTGCGCTTGTCTTGTGCAGCATGGCAGAGGTCATCATTATATAGTCAGGGTTCTTACGGTCATTAAAAACCTGGAAAAGTCATGGAAATTCAAAATGCTAATTCCAGGCCCTGGAAAAGTTATGGAAAACAATATTTTTCCCAAAGTTTTGGAAAAGTCATGGAAATGTAACTAAAGTTGCATCAAATATAATTTATATTTTATCTAATCGCCGAAATAGTAATTACTGTATCGTATAGTAATGGAACGTAAAATGGCATTTAACTGACGAGGTATTTTGTTGGTGAGAGATTTGAGTTGCTTTAGCGTGTAGAAGCTAGTAAGCCTATTTGATTTGTTTTAGATAGGCACAACATGTTTCAGATGCAGACCTTATTTTCCTGTTCCATGTGGTACCGCTGAGAAAGAGTCATTTTTTTGGTCATGGAAAATTAGGTAAAGGTCATGGAGAAGTCATGGAAAAGTCATTGAAAATCATTCGTGAAAAAGTGTATGAACCCTGTATAGTGCAGCACCCTCACGGACAAGGTTTCTCCAGGTCGCCCCGTCTGCTGTCTTCCCAAGCTTTTAAGTCTATGTGGCACTTCTTTAGGTTTGTTTTTATGTGATCTTTGTAACTCTTCTTTTGGCCTCCAGGGGCCCTCCAGGGGCCCTCCAGGGGCCCGTTCCCCTTTAACAAGCTGGGAATAAAGGACTTGTTTTGGGAGGCGAGAGTCAGGCATGCGGACAACATGGCCAGTCCATCTGAGCTGGTTTTGGGCAATGGTGGCATTGATGGTGTGAATGTCAGCCTCCTCCAGGACGCTGGTGTTAGTGCGCCGATCCTCCCAGCTAACCCTGAGGGACCTCTGATGGTATGCCTCAAGTGCCTTCAAGTGCCTTCAAGTGCCTTCAAGTGCCTTCAAGTGCCTTCAAGTGCCTGCTGGATGTGGTCCAGGCTTCTGGTCCATACAGAAGAGTGGGGAGCACCACAGCTTTGCTTGGAGGTCACGGTTCTCAAAGACTCTCTTCCTTAGCCTTGAGAAAGCCCCACTGGCACAGCTGAGGCGATGGTGTATTTCATCATCAATAACAGCTTTTGATGATAGGAGGCTGCAAAGGTATGGAAGTAGTCCACATTTTCCAGTCTGATGTTGTCAATGGAGATGTTTAGGGGTAGGACAGGCGTGGGTAGGTTCCCTTCGGGAGGACGCCTGCGCGTGACGTCTTTTAACGTGGGGAGATTGATGCGCCTGCAGCCACCACACGGTCCTTGGCAGAGAGGGGCCTGAATCCAATGGCATGGAATCCATGACGAATGAAGACCACCCTCTGTTGCAGCCTTCATCCGCCTTCAGTGCCGTTGTGACTTAGAGTATCATCCTTCGCCACTTCCGCCATTGAGGTCTTTGGATCGCACTTTGTCTGGGACCTCCCCCTCCATCTTACCGCCATGGGGGACCCTACCAGGAGCTAAAAAGCTCGCGACGGCATCGCTCTTAGGTTCATTGGAACACACAAGGTTCTCCACCACGGCAAGGTGGCGATCCATGGAGAACACACACACACTCATACACACACACATTTCAAGCTAAATCAATGGGAACTGCGACGCGGTCCATGCAGAACATGTACTGGGAGTAGGTATACTGGGGTATGTTCTGTCTCTCACCTGTGTGTCTCTCACCTGTCTGTCTCTCACCTGTCTGTCTCTCACCTGTCTGTCTCTCACCTGTGTGTCTCTCACCTATCTGTTTCTCACCTGTCTGTCTCTCACCTGTGTGTCTCTCACCTATCTGTTTCTCACCTGTCTGTCTCTCACCTGTCTCTCTCACCTGTCTGTCTCTCACCTGTCTGTCTCTCACCTGTCTGTTTCTCACCTGTCTGTCTCTCACCTGTCTGTCTCTCACCTGTCTGTTTCTCACCTGTCTGTTTCTCACCTGTCTGTCTCTCACCTGTCTGTCTCTCACCTATCTGTTTCTCACCTGTCTGTCTCTCACCTGTGTGTCTCTCACCTATCTGTTTCTCACCTGTCTGTCTCTCACCTGTGTGTCTCTCACCTATCTGTTTCTCACCTGTCTGTCTCTCACCTGACTCTCTCACCTGTCTGTCTCTCACCTGTCTGTCTCTCACCTGTCTGTTTCTCACCTGTCTGTCTCTCACCTGTCTGTCTCTCACCTGTCTGTTTCTCACCTGTCTGTTTCTCACCTGTCTGTCTCTCACCTGTCTGTCTCTCACCTATCTGTTTCTCACCTGTCTGTCTCTCACCTGTGTGTCTCTCACCTATCTGTTTCTCACCTGTCTGTCTCTCACCTGACTCTCTCACCTGTCTGTCTCTCACCTGTCTGTTTCTCACCTGTCTGTCTCTCACCTGACTCTCTCACCTGTGTGTCTCTCACCTGTCTGTCTCTCACCTGTGTGTCTCTCACCTGTCTGTTTCTCACCTGTCTGTCTCTCACCTGTCTGTCTCTCACCTGTCTGTCTCTCACCTGTGTGTCTCTCACCTATCTGTTTCTCACCTGTCTGTCTCTCACCTGACTCTCTCACCTGTCTGTCTCTCACCTGTCTGTCTCTCACCTGTGTGTCTCTCACCTGTCTGTCTCTCACCTGTCTGTCTCTCACCTGTGTGTCTCTCACCTGACTCTCTCACCTGTCTGTCTCTCACCTGTGTGTCTCTCACCTGTCTGTCCTCACCTGTGTGTCTCTCACCTGTCTGTCTCTCAGCGGTCCTCTTCACGGTCTCTGGTGATGTCACCAGCATTAAGCCCCGCCTCCGTTTCGTTGGCAGCGATCAAAGTGTGTCTGGTTTCCTGTTTATGCCGAGTCAACGCTGTGTGCACCTGAGAGCAGGTTTACAGGTGAGTCACATGATGCAGTCACACCTGAGGTCACATGATGCAGTCACACCTGAGGTCACATGATGCAGTCCCACCTGAGGTCACATGATACAGTCACACCTGAGGTCACATGATGCAGTCACACCTGAGGTCACATGATACAGTCACACCTGAGGTCACATGATACAGTCACACCTGAGGTCACATGATGATACAGTTCCATTAAACCTGATGATGTTGTTCAGGGACACCCTGTAGTTTGTGTTGTGTTCAGGGTCACCCTGTAGTTGTTGTGTTCAGGGTCACCCTGTAGATATCAGTGTTGTTGAGGTTCTGTTCTGTGTTTGGGTGTGCAGAGTCCGGTCAGGAACAAAGTGGAGCCTCTCGTGTTCTCCCTGAACGCCTCACTGCACGAGAAGCTGCCCAGGAAGAGAAACGCCGTACAGGACCTCAAACGCCTCCCGGTGCTGAGCGAGACCCCTCGACCCATCAGAACCCAGGTCAGAACCCATCAGAACTCAGGTCAGAACCCATCAGAACCCAGGTCAGAACCAATCAGAACTCAGGTCAGAACCCATCAGAACCTTTATAACAAGCTTCAGAACCCATCAGAACCTTTATAACCCAGGTCAGAACCCATCAGAACCTTTATAACGAGCTTCAGAACCCATCAGAACCTTTATAACAAGCTTCAGAACCCATCAGAACCTTTATAACCCAGGTCAGAACCCATCAGAACCTTTATAACGAGCTTCAGAACCCATCAGAACCTTTATAACCCGGGTAAGAACCCACAGAGAAACCACGCAGAACCAGGACCCGGGTCAGGACTACCTAACTGGGCTTTTTAACCCGTTCTAAAGCTCCTTCTCGTCCCCTGCAGATCCACATCCAGAAGGCCTGTGGTTCTGATAACCGCTGCAGCAGCAATCTGCAGATGAAGGCCCAGTTCACAGACCAGAACCAGAACCCGTACACCAGGTGAGCTCTTAATGTTCCTGAGACCCGGAGATCCCCGTTGTGGTTCTCCACCGACAGGTTCTGCCTCCATGTAGTAATTCAGTCGAACCCGATGTGAACTTGTGTGTGTGCGTGTGTGTTGTGCGTGTGTGTGTGTGTGTGTGTGCGTGTGTGTGTGTGCGTGTGTTTGCATGTGTGTGTGTGCTTGTGTGTGTGTTTGCATGTGTGTGTGTGTGTGTGTGTGTGTGTGTGTGTGTGTGTGTGTGTGTGTGTGTGTTTCAGGCAGCAACACTCCCAGGTCCTCCTCTATGACTCTTCTCTCTCCCTCCTCTTCCTGGAGGTTAATGTGAGCAACATGGAGGCGGAGGACGCTCACCGCGCCGCTCTGAACATCAGCTTCACCTCGCCCACACTGTCCTATTCTGGGGTCAGATCCAAGGTGAGGGGGGTCAACAGGTCTCTGACAGGTGTGTGTGTTTCAGGTAGGACAGGTGACAGGTGTGTGTGTTTCAGGTAGGACAGGTGACAGGTGTGTGTGTTTCAGGTAGGACAGGTGACAGGTGTGTGTGTTTCAGGTAGGACAGGTGACAGGTGTGTGTGTGTTGCAGGGAGACGTCCAGGTGGAGTGTTCTGCTGAAGACCAGGTTCTGCTGTGTGAGCTGGGGAACCCGTTCAGGAGCAACCATCAGGTACCCCTAACAACAGACACACACACACACACACACACACACACACACACACACACACACACACACACACACACACACACACACACACACACATGTTTGTCCCTGTTTAATGATGGATGTTTTTCAATCCTCATCATTTTCATGACGGTCCCCTTGTTTCAGGTTCAGGTGTTGATCATATTCCAGACATCAGAGATCAGTCTGAACACCAGAGAGATCCAGACTGTGCTGCAGCTGTCCACGTAACACACACACACTCACACACACACACACACACACACACACACACACACACACACACGCACTCCTGTTTAATGATATTGTTGGGGTGTGTGTGTGTGTGTGTGTGTGTGTGTGTGTGTGTGTGTGTGTGTGTGTGTGTGTGTGTGTGTGTGTTCAGGCTCAGTGAGCAGGATGATCTACTTCCTGTCTGCATCTCCATGTTGGTGCAGTTCTCTCTGCAGACGTCTCTCTCTCTGTGAGTTACTCTCAACTCAGGTTAAGTAACTCAGGCTAACTCAGGTTAACTCAGCTTTAAATAACTCAGGTTAACTATCTGAGGTTACCTCAGGTTAACTCTGGTTAACTATCTCAGGTTAACTATCTGAGGTTACCTCAGGTTAACTCTGGTTAACTAACTCTGGTTAACTATCTGAGGTTACCTCAGGTTAACTCTGGTTAACTAACTCTGGTTAACTATCTGAGGTTATCTCAGGTTAATTCTGGTTAATTAACTCAGGTTAACTATCTCAGGTTATCTCAGGTTAACTCTGGTTAATTAACTCAGGTTAACTATCTGAGGTTATCTCAGGTTAACTCTGGTTAACTATCTCAGGTTAACTATCTGAGGTTATCTCAGGTTAATTCTGGTTAATTAACTCAGGTTAACTATCTGAGGTTATCTCAGGTTAACTCTGGTTAATTAACTCAGGTTAACTATCTGAGGTTATCTCAGGTTAACTCGGGTTAACTATCTCAGGTTAACTATCTGAGGTTATCTCAGGTTAATTCTGGTTAATTAACTCAGGTTAACTATCTCAGGTTATCTCAGGTTAACTCTGGTTAATTAACTCAGGTTAACTATCTGAGGTTATCTCAGGTTAACTCTGGTTAACTATCTCAGGTTAACTATCTGAGGTTATCTCAGGTTAATTCTGGTTAATTAACTCAGGTTAACTATCTCAGGTTATCTCAGGTTAACTCTGGTTAATTAACTCAGGTTAACTATCTGAGGTTATCTCAGGTTAACTCGGGTTAACTAACTCAGGTTAACTATCTGAGGTTACCTCAGGTTAACTCTGGTTAACTAACTCAGGTTAACTATCTGAGGTTATCTCAGGTTAACTCTGGTTAACTAACTCAGGTTAACTATCTGAGGTTACCTCAGGTTAACTCGGGTTAACTAACTCAGGTTAACTATCTGAGGTTATCTCAGGTTAACTCGGGCTATCTCAGGTTATCTCAGGTTAACTCTTGTTCTCATTGGTTGACCTGACAGAGTCACCCCTCCAGGCCACGCCTCCTTCAGCGGTCATGTGATCGGGGAGTCGGCCATGAGGAGGACGCAGGATGTCGGCAGTTTGCTGCTCTTCAGCCTCCAGGTCAGAACAAAAACGTCCCGATTCACCTGAACGCACCATGTTTGTGTTAGCGGTGCCATCTTAGCCTCTGTAGCGGGTTAGCGCCAAATGCTTTTGCTTTAATAGTACTTTGCTAAATGTATTAGCCCTGGAGTTAGCTTCCGAGCTAACTAGCGGTCCATCGGTCACGACTTGCTGTAACTACTGACAACGACCCTCATTTCTTCTTGTTCTGGTTGGTTGGTAACCCACGGCCTCCTCTGATAGGTGCATGTTATCGGGAAGCCACTCGGTCGCCTAGGCAACCTGCAGGTGGAGTTTGATTGGCCGAGGGAGGTGTCCAATGGGAAGTGGCTGCTGTACCTCGAAGAGATCCGATTGGACGGCACGTCTGAGGCACGCTGTGATCCGCCCGGAAACATTGTCAACCCCCTAAACCTCGAGGTAACCATGGCAACATCAGCCTCTCATTTCAATAAAGATCCTGGGCCAACACCTTTCAAAATAAAGGCGTGTCCAATCAGAGAGAGAGCTGCCTTCATATATAATTAAACAGGAAACGTTAGGGAAGGCTCGCTTGGATTGGTCGATGTGTTGTTAGATATTTATAATCATATATTCACACATTCAAACCTTTGTTAGTGTAATTAATAAACAAAGAAAACTCACATTATATCTCTCTTTCACTGAACAAAGAAACCAATGACATTAATGAATCTGTTCTGTCTGATCAGCTGGAGGAGGAGAGGAAGAGGAGGAGTCTGCAGGATCAGAGAGGGAGGAGCCTCCAGGGAAACAGAAAGTCCTACTCTCTGGTACAAATACCTGCAGTACTGCAGCCTCTCACAGGGGGCGCTACAAACCACTAATCCTCATTCTGAAATAATGTGTCAAATATATTTAAAGGTCCCGTCACCTTGTGTTCTGTAGCTTCTGCATGTAAACGCTCTGCAGAGTCACCCTCAAATGTACACTCAGGCTCAGGCTGTGTGTGTATGTGTGTGTGTGTGTGTGTGTGTGTGTGTGTGTGTGTGTGTGTGTGTGTGTGTGTGTGTGTGTGTGTGTGTGTGTGTGTGTGTGTGTGTGTGTGTGTGTGTGTGTGTGTGTGTGTGTGTGTGTGTGTGTGCTCAGGCTGAGTTCCGCGGTGTCTCAGAGCCCACGCAGCACCCAGGAAACGACACCAGTAAGCCAGCTCACACTGTCCGCTCCTCGAGCCTCACAGGGCGGAGCAGCGAGCCCCCCAACGTCCCCCCAACACGGCACCCAGACCCCACGCAGCATTCTCATCTGTTTGTCATTACTGGTGTCATTTCCTGGTTGCTAACAAACGCCATTGTAAAACATAAACACTGATGTTCCGCTGTAACGGTGGTGGACTCATCAGAACAGAGTGGGCGAGCTGACCAATCAGAGCACAGTGGGCTCACAGGGAGGGGGGGCAGGAGCTCCAACAAGGCGTGTAGGACAGAGTGAATACACATACTATACAGAGATGCTGTATGAGAAACCAATGTGAGTTTGGAACATTGAACAATGTCAATCTATTCTAGTAGACCTCAACTATGGAATCATGATCAGTAGAAATGGCCGTGACATGGGACCTTTAAATTCGAGCAAAAGGTGTCACGTAGGTTGCTTCCCCCTCACAATGGTCCTTACATGTGTGTGTGTGTGTGTGTGTGTGTGTGTGTGTGTGTGTGTGTGTGTGTGTGTGTGTGTGTGTGTGTGTGTGTGTGTGTGTGTGTGTGTGTGTGTGCATGCGTGCCTGTAGGACTGTGAGCACGGGGCCCGCTGTGTGCCGTTCGTCTGTCCTCTGCTGAACATGAGTTCCTCTGCCTCGCTGACTGTGAGAGCCAGACTGTGGAGCTCCACCCTGACAGAGGTACACGCTCAGACCAGGAGCCTCAGTCTCTCTCTCAGTCTCTCTCTCTCTCTCTCTCAGTCTCTCTCTCAGTCTCTCTCACCCTCTCTCAGTCTCTCTCTCAGTCTCTCTCTCAGCCTCTCTCACCCTCTCTCAGTCTCTCTCTCAGTCTCTCTCAGTCTCTCTCTCATACCCCATTCACACCAACGGTGTTTCGGGGCCGGTTCGGTGCTGGTGCTTGAAAAGCACCGGGTTGTCCTGTTCACACCGCAGCGGAGCAGCCTCTAAGCTCCGGAATCCGGTTCGTTTCGAGCACCAAAAAGTTGTCCGTCTAGAAGCAAGAACCGCTTACGTCGGAGGGGGGCGAGATTAACCTGAGATAACAGTTAAGGCGAGTACGGCAAATACAAGTTGTAACAAGCAGTAGTGCTGAGCAAAGTGACTAGAACGCAACCACACACTTATAAAAAAACATGCTTTATAAAGTCAGGCAACACTAACCAGGCTTCGTGTGATTCTGTTTATTTGTACCTTACTTTGACCATCCGTTCGCTGTTATTGATCATTGTGGAGAGCAGGCAGACGTTTGTTATTATAGCAGCTATCGGATGGAATCAATACATGGGCTGCACAGGTTGTCATGTCCGACTATCACAAGTAGAATCATAATGAAAAAATACGCCGGTAAAAAGTGCCTGTAGAAAACGGCTTAGCAAGTAGTCAGTTTAGCTTCGGTTGCTATGCTAACATCACCCATGTTATACCAGAGAAACTTTCATAACAGCGTTGTGATGCCAAACAGCGTCAATTCAGACTGACACACATTCACTTAAGGGGAACTGGGGATATGTGTCAGCTGCTTGTGTGACAGTCAGACAGTGAATACTTTAGAGCCGTGTGAGCTAACCCGGAGCTAACGGGAGAATACACTCCCTGTGGAAGAGCAGCCAGCACTGCAGCGGTCGCTAAATGAAACACATTAATAAACAATGAACCACGGCACTCTGGAGAAAAGTATAAGGTTGGAGAAGTCGTTATTTAATTTAATCTGGCTTCGTATGATTAAAAGCAACACGATCATCGACCCGACGCAGTCCCCGGCCCGTTGTTGTGAGGTGAGCTCCGGCGTTGGGGAGAAACTCAGCGACGTAAACGGTGACGTCATGACGCAGCAGCGGCAGCACCAGTCGGGCTCTGAGCGGTGTGAAAAGAGCCGGCGCTAAACCGAAGAACAGGTTCTGAACCAGAAAAGCTCTAGAGGAGCTAGAAGGGGAAAAGGGGTATCAGTCTCTCTCTCTCTCTCTCTCAGTCTCTCTCTCAGTCTCTCTCTCAGTCTCTCTCTCTCTCTCCCTCATCTCTCAGTCTCTCGTCTCTCTCTCTCATCAGTCTCATCTCTCTCTCTCTCATC